TAGGGGTTTTCTTTTCTTTCTCTTTTGGTACCAGGATCGAACCCAGGACCTTGCACTTGTGAGGCAGGTGGTGGAACCACTGAGCTAAATCCCCGGCCCTACAGGTTTTATTTTTAATGCTCTAAAAAATAAATATATTATTTTAAAATCTTTTACATCTAAAAAAAAAGACTTTCTTTTGTACCTTCAAATGATTATGGTTAGAAAAAGTTAAGAAGTGCTATTTTCCTTCCTGTGCACCAAGACCTAATGGCGAGCGAGACGTCTCCCTGTTTATTACTGCAGATGACTGCTGCTCCTCTGCTTCTGTCCCCACAGCACAGCGCCAGTCAGGCCAGGCCCACCCGGATCATCCCACCCTTTTCCCACCTTGTGACTATCATTGCCCTGCAGTCTCGCAAGTGTTTAGTGGTGGGTTTATAATTTTTCTATCTCTATCCTTTCATTATTCCTGATTTAAAAATATCCATGTGGACAATTCACCCATCTTTTAGCCTCTACATGATGTCTTGATTCTCCACTCCCATAAATGCAGCATAGAACTTAGCTCTCAACTTTAAGTACTTCATGATCTGAGTGACCCTCCTTATTTCTGGGTCATTTCCATACTGAGCCTCTAACCCACCGACGCTATCACTTTTTAAAGCATGTGGCATCATATTTAAGTCTTAATTTCCCAATTCTATTCCCTCTGCCTTGTCCCTTTCTCACTGTCACTAGTTGCCTGCCAAACCCCAAACCTATTAAATCTAACTCTGTCTAATCCACAACGTTTACCAAGTAGCTAAACAAGACTGGAGAAAAACATACAACTGTGCTAGCTGTTTTCACTTTAAATTCATGACCACAAACCTCAAAGTGGGTTCTCAGTGCTGCCAGGCAATCACACAGCTCTCCTTTACAGCAAAAGGAGTTGACTGTAGTTACCCTTTCCATTTCCTCCCCTCCCATTCTCTCTTGAAGGTGCTCTGGTCAGGCTTTCATTCTTATCACTCTTCAGAGTGGCTGATCTAAGTTATCAGTTATTATTCCCAGGAACATCTGATAGGGTCGACTGTTCCCACCTGTTTGAAAAACTTCTTCTCATGACTTTTAAAGCAGAGCATGTTCTTGTCTGAGCAGTCCCTGCTGCACCCCTTCCACTATTCAGGCCTCTGCTCACATGTCACCTTCCTTACACAGCAGACTTCCAAGGCTCTTATAAAAACACTGTCTCCTAATCTTGCTCCATAGCATTTGTCAACAACTAACATGACATTACCTACTTCTGTATCATGCGTTTTATGATCTCTTAAAATGTAAGCTCCATAAGGGTAAGGTATTTATATTTGCCTAGGCTGTTATTGTCTGGCACAGAGTGGGCATGACAGCATATGTGGAAGGATTGTAAGATACATTAAAGTTCTCTGTTATCTCCAGAAGACAGAATTATGAAACATTTAGATAGCTAAATCATACATTTCAGTAATGAATTTTTTACAATCCATCTATAACTATGGTAAAAGGATCAATTGCACTAAATCAAATATTAAAGCTTAGTAGTAATAAAAAGGAATCCACACTCATGAAAAAGATTTAAATTATATAATCAGAAACTAGGTACATATGTAAATGAGGAAAACTTTTATAAGTAAGTCAGAAGGACCTACACAAAGATGAGAAATAAGTTTTATAACAAAGTGTAATTAGCTGGTGGTGGCTGTTTGAAGCACTATATTGAAAGGATCTTGGAAGCTAAGTATTTCAGCAGGAAGGAGTACCACACCAAGAATAAAAGGGCTGGAGTAATGCCACTCTATGACTTTAAATCTGTATATGGACTCTTTTTGATACTTTATGCTCACTTGGCTGCTACCAAAAATTTCGTATTTATAACCTCACTACCTACTTGAGATCTCCATATAAATGTCTAATGAGAGATATCTCAAAGTTATAATAACCAAAGCAGAACTTGGGATCTGGAGCACTCCTCAAAAACTAACAAACAAAGAACACTACTCTTTTTCCTGTCTTCGCTCTTTCAAAAATGACATCGTCACGCACCTGGCTGCCTACCTGAGAACACTGACTCACAAGGTCAAACCCATGAGCGAATCTTGTTAGCTCTGGCACTTTGCTTCAGCATTTTCTAACTTCATTAATCTCATCCACATCACTCCAATTCCCACAACCTCTCACCTGGTCCACCATACTAGCTTTCTAGCTTGTCTGCCTGCTTATATGTTTGTCTCTCTAAGATCCACTACCTACACTTCAGTCTCAGTGGCTTTTAGAAATATATTCAAATATTTTCATTTCCTTATAATTTTCCTTTGCACGTGAAATCAAATCCAAAGTGCTAACCTTGCGTAACTTTCCATAGCCCATTTCTCCAACTTTATCTCAAATCACTCCGTCTCACTCTTTCTGCAGCAGCCAGAATGGCCTCTTTTCAATGTCAAAGTTGTTCTTAGCATCGGGCTTTTGTCCTACCTGGTCCCTAAAATAGAAAGCACTTACATCTGACAAGCTCTCTTGTGACATGCAGATTTCATTTTAACAATCCCACTTCAGAAGTCTTCCTTTATGTTTAAAGGGGCAACTCAATCAGCATTATTTAACCCTATCTTAACCCTGTACAATACAAGTAACTTATATTTGAATGGTTTGTTTATTAATTTGATTAGCTCTCTTTCCCATTTAATATAAAATCTAAACAAAAAGATCTTGAGTTCTTGTCTTTTTTTCAACACCAGGCTAAAAAGGCCTAACTGATAAGTATTTGTTGGAGATAATTTGTGCAGATTTTTAAAAATTGTGTTATATTTCAATAGATATTATATATATTTATTCATTTATATTTGTAGAATAAATGAATGAGACCTGAATTATTAAGAATTCCCTGTTTGGGATTTGAGGAGTAATTCTCTAAGGTGGAAAAAAATACAACTTTCTTTTGATTAAAATTCAAAGGGTGCCAACGTTTTTGCTAAACAGAATTAGACATTCTGTAAAACAGCATGCCTTTACAGGGTTTGAATGAAATAATAATATAGACCATCTGCATAGAATTTGGAATGCCATGAAAGGGTACTGGGGTAGAAGGTGCCACAATGATGTACTGAACCTATCCCAGGAGGTGAAAAATCAGAAAACGGTTCCCATAGAGGTATCATTGAAAATTTAAATGGTGTGAGGCTGGAAAAGAAAAGGCATGAAGTTTTAAGAGTATTTTGGTGAGAGCAAATATGAGCAAAACATGAGCTGAACCCTGAAAGCTCCTACTATATTTAGGAAACTGAAAATAATTTACTGTGGCTGGAGAGCAGACTATGAAATGAAAAACCAA